GTGTGTGTGTGTGTGTTGACCAGATCCTTGGCTGCACGCCTCTAGTGAGTCACCACTTGACAACATGGCAGAGATAAAAAAAAAAAAGAGAGAGAGGGGAAGAGAAACCGAGGATACACAGGAGAGAGACAGAATGAGGGGAAGAGAGACAGATGGAGAGAAAGTTGAAGAAAACAAGCTGTAAAAGAGGAGAAACAAATATCGGAGATACAGAGAAGACAGACAAAGAGAAAAAAATGGAGGCAAGGATGGAAGTAACTCAAAGGGGAGTTAAGTAAGGAGGGACGAGGGCCAACGGGAGAAGAGACAAATAAATACAAGGTAAAGAGACAAAAGAGGGAGGGGGAGAGAGGGAGGGTGACAAGAGAAGAGAGAAGTTGAGGAGAGATAATGAAAACAGAAACACTTGGAAAAAAGACTTGAAGGATAAAGGCACCAGGGTGCATCCTTGAGCAAGGCACTAAATCCCCAAATAGCTGCTGAGAGGCAGATCTCAGGTGTGTGTGTGTGTGTATTTCAGCAATTTCCTCTGGGGTGTTGCTGTTAATGAGGAAACGTTCTTAGTCCAGTGGTGTGGTTATCTATATTGGCAGGTAATTAGTACTGATTGATTATATTGTGATTGGATGACTATAATATAATGATATGATTGAAAGTTGAGATGTAAAAAAAACTCATCACCACAGACAAGATTAAGTGAAACATCTTTAGTCTATTTCGCAAATATTAAGCGTTCAGCTCAGGATTTAGAAAACTCACTTGTATTTAAACTTTCAGTGCCATTGATCCTTTAAACTATTTATTATTACATATTTTTGGATAAGTACAATTACAAAGTTGATTGAAATGCCAAATGTGTTTGCCCCGAATCAATCCACAATGACGTAAAAGAAAGACAAGCATCAAATCCCCAGATTCTATTCAGAGTCTAGCAAATGTTTGATTTTGTAAAACTCCTTCTGGTGCTTCAGGGCAACCTCCCTCTGCTCTCGTCCAACAAACTGTACATACGTCATGAGGATGTTCTCATTCTGAGGAGAACAAGCTCGAAAGTTTGCAGATTAGGACAACTGACAGCTGTGAGCAAAGACAAAACGGACTGAACCAAACCTGGAAAACCAAACAGACCGAACAGTAGATGTTTGTCAAGGTTCATCCCACAATATCTGATCGCCCAAAAATGCGATGTAAGTAAGGATGGAGTATAGATCAGCACCAAATTACACACACTAGATATCAGTTCCCTAAATAAGACAGGGAACTGATATCAGGACTTCTTAAAGATCTATTAATGATTCTTTGAGAAATCAAGGATTACACCAAAGGTCACAATGTTAAAGAAAGTGAAAAAAAAAAATCCATAATCTCCCACTTTGTCCAGATATGTGTAAAAATTTGCACACATCTCATCCTTACAACAAATTTCATGGAAATCATTTCTGTAGTTTTGGAATAATCCTGCTGACAAATAAACAAACCAACAAATAAACGGCATCCCCTCCTTGGCATGGGTAACAGAACAAATCACATTGTTTCCCCTGCATCTGTCTGTGCTCTGACACTGTGTAATATCCACATATGATGATGGTGACAGGAAGCTTGAAATACTCACTCCACATATACAAACACAACTTTTAATAGTCTCACTGAGTCAATGACCTAAATACTCGCAGAGAAATACGTGTTTGTGTGCACACATGGATTCAAACGCCTTCATGTTTACAAGTGTTTGTACAATTTCTCTCTGCTAGCGTTGAGAAAAATGAGTGTACATTCAGCTTTTTGCATGCTTATAATTGTGCTTATGCATGTCAATTTTCTGTGTGTGTGTTTGCATATAAATAATTTAGGTGCAGAATAACCCCCACTAAGTTTGAACACTATCACAAGCAGAGCAAGAGTATTAGGAAACACTGTGTCTGCCTAAAAAAACCTGATAAATGTGACAGATTTTCTCTCTCTCTCTCACACACACACACACATGATGGCAAACAGAAGGAAACAGGAAATGTGACAGACTTCCTCCGAGCTGTGCTCATCAAGATGCTCCGGTCCTTCTTCACCTTTGTGTACGTGCATACAAACACACAAGAGAAAATGTGTGAAAACAAATTTCCGACATTGATTTAATGTCTTTCACGGCTAAACTTTACCATAAGTTTTATAAAAGGGAGACAAAAGATGGCAAATATACACTGTTGAGTCAAACAATAAAAATTCTGCTCACAGAAGAATACGACCTCTGGAACATTATCTGAATTTACTGCTTCTCCCGCGTCTGCAAATTCACAAGATTAAAAAGCCCACATAATTATATGTAATTATCATTACTGCCATCTCTCCCCAGCTGCCACTTTCTTTCTCTGGCTAAAAGCAGTATATTTTTAACAGATCATCTGCTTTCCCCTCGCAGATTATTTTTCTCGTGTCTGTCAGTCTCCACCTCCTGCACTGCCTCATTCCCTGATAACACTCACGTCCCTGGTTGGAAGTCTATTAGATCAGGCCTCTTCTCTTTCCTGCTCTCTTTTCCGTGTCTGGTTCACCCACTTGTTAATTGTATAACAACTTTTCCTTCATCTTGCCAACGCACCTTTCACTCTGTTAATGTGGCGACATCATCCTGCTGCTCTCTGACCTCCTCCTGACCTGACCTCTCTCCTCCTCTTGTCTCTTTCTAAATCATTATGTCCAGTCAGTCTCTGGAGTGCTAAGTCTATTAGTCTGTTACTGTGCCTGCGTCACAACAAAAGCTTCTGGCTGCTGAGCGCTGACTGGTGCCTCTAACAAAAGCGCACACACCTTTTCTTACATAACCTCTCCCTCGGCTCACTCACAAACACGCGTGTGAATGCACAAAAACACAGTAATGCAATGGTTTGTTTTGTGATAAATCGAGTCGTCGTTATGGTTCTGAGGCTGAAATGCGAGAGCGGAGCAACATTAAAGTCTACGTTTGATTTGTCAACACTGGTGGAGATTATCTGGAGGCCAAGTGTAAAGATGATGTCTGCGGGTTGTTGTGTGTTGTGTTGATTGTTAGGAGGATGTTCAGTCAGATAAGATGATATGATCTGAAACTTTGAGCCAGGAAACAGAAAATCAACAGGATTTTACATTTATAAAGAGCTACAGGCTTAATTCCTATGAGAAAATGTTTTGCATGGAAATTTTGTTTAGTCTTCAACATCTGTATTCAGGTTCTTAACCTTCATGGATATACATTTGCAATCAAATGTGTGCCCAACAAAATTATATTATTTACTACAAAATTATTCCCTGTCTTATGAAGAATCTCAAATGTTTTATGAAAGAATGAATTGATCAATGTTTGTTTAAGATTTTAAAGCTTCATTCATTGGTATTTTTTTGGAATTAGCTTATACAAATATTACATCATTATTGTTTACTTCCCTTCTTCATCTTTGCATCGTTGTAAAACGTATTTTCATTTCAGCAGATAAATTATATCCTGTGGATAAAACTTATTCTTTAAATGATCTTTGAACTGCATTATGTCTGTGGAATTAGTATACCTACAAGAAATTATAATAATGATTAAATTGACCAAAGAATTCTCTATTGTTATATATTTCCAAAAATTACCCATTAAATAATTTACATTCCAAATTTCTTTTTCCCGTTGTGTCCGATTAAACACTAACTGTGAGTGAGGTAATATTTCTGTAAATGCTCTTACACAGCTTCCATTGTAATACAACATTAAAGCAGCTGCAGTCCCCTCATTCGCTTTGAATTAATCTTCTGATGTCGTAACTACATCATTAGACGCGGTGCCTAAACAGGAGAGATCAAATTACCTCACTGTCCGAGCACATCACACTGTGTATTGTCTGCCGGGCTGTACCTGCCCTGAGAAAATGGAGAGCTGTAATCTCCCATAATCCTTACCAGCTCTGAAAATGCCTTCAGTCAGGTGCTGAATACAAATTACTGACACACACACACATGAAATACTGATGTTTTGATCATCACAAGCAAGACACACTCCCGTTGTATACACACTGCTCATTATCTATTACAGTATGTAAGGTGCGCATGGTTTCACATGTGAAACTCAACATGAATACAATCCAAAACAATTCCCTGCTTTCCTTCCTTTCTACATACAAACACAACACCCAAAAAAACCCAGCTGTCCAGTCATCTGTGACTGAAGCAGAGGAAAACAACTGAGCAGAAACATAAAACGTGCATGATAAACCATTTATCTGTGAGTGTGTGCGTTTATACCTGTGCCTGTGTGTATATATCAATGTGTATGCATGTGTGTGTGTGTGTGTAGACTATATGTCTACTTCCCAAGGTCACTGCTGAAAGCTAGGAGGGAGGAAAAAAATTAACAAGACCAGTGGACAATGACGTTAGCTGTGCAAGGAACACTACTCTTAAAGGGACAGCTTAGGACACGGGCATTAAAATGGAAAACTCCACTTTGACGACACACGATTTCGATATTTATTTACGTCTTTAAACGTATTCAGAATCATGAAGAAATCAGGGATGTGTTTGTGGAGGCAAAACAGACAGAAACACACATAACATTGTGAATATTTCATAATGGGAAGGAAAATAGAAAATATGGCCAGAGGGAGAGCGATAGAGAGCATAAACTGCTCTCCCTCCTGTAGTACCACACACACACACAAACTGTGGCACAGTGTGGTAGCCGAGTTGCCTGCACTCACATTGAAAAAGAGCAGGCAGTATCTCAATACAAAACCACTCAAGAGGTTTGAGGCAACAAAAGGCTTTTCATTAGTGAACTACTGACATGGGACATCTCTAAATGAAGAGGTCTCGCTGTGTCGCTGTGCACAGAGGACACAATCCAGACACACACACAGAAGCAAACACACACTTTGCGTTTTTCCAGTTGTCCTCAGAAGGCCATGTAGTGTACTGAGGGTGGGTAAGAGGCATCTCATCACATCTGCTACTATACTGGTGGTTATTAAAAAAGAGGGGAGAAAAACAACCTTTTGTGTCGGTTGGTCTGCCACCTGCCAGACAGCAGTCGTCTCTTACAGCCTGAAACTGCAACTCTCGAATTGAATCCATTTGCTTACTGTGGTGAGGGGAAAAGTCAAATTCATAGAGAGGAAGGGAAGGAGAAGAGATTGCAAATGGCTGTGTGATTTGGCCTTCATGGTGGACATTACCAGTTACTGCTCAGGTTCCAACAACCCTTTCAACTCCCTGCTTTCAAATGTGAAATCATCTGAAGAGAAATTATTCTAGTGGGAAGTGGCCACGCTCAAAAGCCTGCTATGACATCTGAATCTGTTGGTTACTTTGCAAAACACCTCCGGGTAGTTGGTGAGAGGTTTCAGGACATGAAAAATAAACAAAAAGAACTGAGCGTGTTTGTGAAGCCATTTAAAGATGGAACACTGATGTGACACCCTGACAATAAACAACACCAAACTACTGAGCTGCAGAGCCACAGTGAGCTCAGAGCTACATGAGTCTGTCTCTGCTCGAGCTCTAGTAGCTGTTTGGTACATCCTGAGGATTTTAAAGTTCTGAGGTGACATGCACACTGAAGTTTGCATCTGTTTGGGATGGCCAACTGCTGTGAGTAACTCTTTTTCAAAACAATTCTTGCAAAAACTTGCTCAAGGCTAACCCAAACCTGGAAAACCACCCCTACCAAAGTGTTCCAGATGTCACATTTCACCTCCTTTACAGAAAGATTTGCAGGTATACACCAGTTACAATAAGGTTATTCTATCCTTTCCCATCACCAGTAGAGGAGTGAATGCCAAATCCATTTCCATTCCAGACAGCAGTGGGTTTGCTGATCAGTGGAAAAGGGGCTATACAGAGGTTATTGTGGCCCTCAAATGTTTTAAAAATTGGAATGAAAAAAATGGTGGGAAAGTTTCCCACCCCTGATCTAATCCATGTTCCTCTTCCCAATGTGATTGTGTCTGACTAACCTGAGAGTAGAAATTAGCCATAGTTGTAGTCTCTATGTCCTTCTTTCCCAGTATTTCCATTTTGACTGGAGCCGATGGGAATTTGGTGGAGAAGTAATCCAAGAAATCAGGCAAGTAGCTGGCGTCTCCGTGGACGATTCCCATGACATAATGAGCTGCCTGGAAAACATGGTCAGAAAATCAACTTAGATAATATCTACCTTTTTAATATTAGAGAACATTCATACTTCAGCTGCATCAATATCGTTGCCGTACCTGAGACGAGTCCTCGCTGAACGCCAAGGTGACAAACTCTTGGGCAAATCTCTGCTTCTGTCCCATCGACAGGGCGGAGAGCTGTGAAGTGTAGGCATGTGCCACAAGTGCCCCTCCGTTTGGCTGGTTCTCTATGTGGATGTATGGAGCAAACTCCAGACCAGCCATACCGGGGTAGGAGCACTGCGGCTGCTGTTTAGTCGGTGAAGGGAGCTGTGCCTGGATGGAGGACGATGGATCATTGGGCGTGTTTTGAAGAGAGGAGCTTAAGAGGGATTTTGAGGCGAGAGAAGCAAAAGGAGGAGAGGAGGGCATGTGTGAGGTTTTGTTGTTAGGTGAGGGGTAAACCGGCAGAGGAGTCTTGAAAGGAGACAGGGAGGATTTGTGCGTGTGATCGGAGGATAAGGAAGAAGAGGTGGGGAGAAGCAGGCCAGCGCAAATTGTTTGGCAGGAGCGGTGGTACATCTTCACTCGTTTGTGCTTCTCCCCCTCTTTGTGTTTCTTCTTCTTTTTCTTCTTGACTTTTTTGATTTGCAGCTCCTCCGAGTTGATCTTGTCTTTTTCATTTTCATCTGGACAGTGACAAAATGAGAAGAAGAGAAAATGACCTTGTTACTAAGAGAGACAAGACTTATTAAAGGAGAGGGTGTTCTTTGAAAAGAGGAAGAAGACACGTTACTCTTTAAAGATTTTTCTAAGAATCTATTCATGTCTGCTTTCTGATGTGAAATTAATTGATAGACAAAAACTGCCCACTATTCTGAGAAGACACTACAAATTAGAATGACAGTGCATACCTCTGCCAAGGCCCAACACTTTCCTTATGAAACCACATTTAAATTCACTAGATCTGGATTTTTCCCTGGACCTGCACCAAATGTGGACTCATAAATATCAGTCCACTAAACATAGGTGACTTCTTTAATCAAGATCCATGAATTATTCTCTGTGAAATCCATAAAGATGTTGAAAGACAAATTATAATACAAATCTGTCTAACTAACAGACAATGAACAAACTGAGATGAAAACAAAACTTCCTCAGTGAAGGTAATAAGGACCAACAATAAGTGCAGTGTAATGACAACTTAAGGTAAAGAGAAAAATGGGCAAAACTGCAAATAAGGGGCTAATTATACTTCAAGTCTGTTAAAAGAAAATGGAAAACTCTTAGTCAGATTGTTGTCTTTATCATCCTCTCAGTTTTTAATCACCATGCCAAACTGATAGCAGATAAATTCCCTCGGTAGAAAAACAAATACAACTAAAAATATGAGTACTAACTATTTTAAGCGATTGTGGACATATGAGTCATAGCTTTTTCCCAGATGGTGTACATCTCCTGGGGTGCATGCATAAAATAAATTGAAGAGCCCTGCGTTGGAATCCCTGCAGAAAAGCAGATATGACTAAGCCAGGAAACCAGCTTTCAAGTGACATATTTGAATGAAGATAATACTGTGCATCTCTTAAAAGCCGAGGGCAGGACAAAGTGGAACATGCAATTTTTTCCATAGTGACACTGTACGTACTGTATATGGAGAGAGAGTGTCACACCTAGTTATGTCGTTTTGCAAAAGTGTTCGTGGTGGTTTGTTCTTTCCAAGTGGTTGTGTAAACAAGTGGATGTGTATATTTACTCTGTGTGTGTGTGTGTGTGTCACTTTGATAGGGGCACTGCTGCCTCAGCATTATTCAAACATCAGCTATCATCCCATGAGAAAACACATGACACACATACAGTATATGAACACACCTTCAGCCTAGTTTGTTCCCCACACACGTTCAACACAACATGAGACAGGATGAAAAACAGCAGAGAGAGAGAGACAGAGAGAGAGAGGGCAATAAAGAGAGCAACACAGAAGGTATTTGCAGCACAATACCCAAGCTACTAATCCACAAGCTCTTTAACCCACGAGTCCCCCCTCCCCCAATTCACACACACAGACACACATAAACACACCAGTTTATTCCCAAACATCAACCCACAGAGAAGCATTACAATGAAGTGAGAATAAGAGATTAACTTGTTGGACATTACATTGATGCATGTATAAAATGCATACAATACACAATATGAGTACTAAAGATAGTGAATTAATCGTGTTTCCACTCAACAAAAAATTATCATAAACTTATTTTTTTAATAACAATAATATTATACATATGTATTATTAATTAACAAAGCCAATTATTCAGTGACCCAAAATGTACTTTTAACAGAATTAGCCCAAATGCATTTGTTTCTGAGATGATCAAATACTGATAACAGGACCAGAAATGTTTCAATCGGCATCGCAAAGGGTAAAATGGAATCAGAGGTTTCATGCATTTGTATGTATTTTATTTATCAGATGGTTGTGTTCATTTTAAAGTCAAACAAGTTCCCAGTCTACCAACATGCTGAGTCAGAAGCCAAAATAGTCGTATGCTGCTTTCTGACTTCCTGTACATGTTAACAAATTTCTAACTTTCCCCCTGTCGCTCTCTGTTACTCCAAACATTTGCAAACGCTGTGATTAAATGCAAATATACTGTGATTCAATGGCTCACTCACTATCACTGTAAAGCTGCTCTCTTAAATCTGATTCCATATCCCACCATGTATCTCAGAGTATCTATTATTGTAAACACACAAGATTAAATACAAGGATTTCTCACTTTGCGACTACAGACTCACAAGACTCTCTCAGTCGCATCTTTTCCTGACTGGAAGCAGTAAGACGGAAATAGTGCGGCAAATAATCCATCTGTAATTTTCATCTGTAGCCACTGGCTGTGGTATGTGGCCGAAGCTTGGCCAAGGCTTTGAAATGTCGCAGCGTGGTCATGAAATATCAGCGAAGGGACGTTTCAAGTCTGACTGGAGCTTTACAACAAATCAAATCAATCATGAATAAATGTGCCTTTGCTGTATGCATGTCAGTGTGTGGTGTGTCTGTCTAAAAAGGTCAGGGTTTTGAAGAGAAAACAGCCGCTGTTGATAAGTGTGGGGCTGCAGTTCAGTGGCTGAGCTCAGATTACACAGAGAGAAAGAGAAGAGAGAGATGGAGATTACGTCACAGCGCTCTGCAAATAATTCACTGCTGTCAAAAGGTTAACAATGACACACTCCACCACATCCATAAAAAGTACAGAGCAGAAGACAGACTGATCGACTAAGTAGGCTTTTACTGGTTTTCATTTATCTTAGAGCATTTTATGTATTTGTGTCCCTTTTATGCCTAAATTCAAGCAGGGTTGCTTTTTAACTTTTTTGCACATAGTGCTGCTGCTGCAGAGGTTGATAGTTCTGTAGCACAGATAAGTTGCCGTCTAGGTATGTGACATTCAAGGCACAAATAACAAACCATAACAGGATGTGTTTTCAGATTAATATTACACACTACAACTGTGTTTTCAGGTTATGATTTGATTAAGAAAGAAGTTTGAAATGTTAGAATTTTTTAACCTTTAACAAAGCTGCATTGTTCTTAAGACTATTATTTTAGTCCATCATCATCTGAATGTTACAATCCTCCACTTTTACTCTGTTTTGAGTTAGAGCCTGACTGACATCTTATTTTGATATTCACAGACGTATCAGTATTTGCATTTATATTTGCCAATAGGAAAACTTTGACAGAATAAACAATGTAGGAAAAAATGTGCAACCGTAACCATGGATCTCAATTTCCTCCATCACAATCCTAGCTACCAGACTTATGGATAATTATCAGTGCACACAAAGACACACACACAAACACACACACTTTCAGAAGGTCAGACTAAATAAACCCTAAGCCAAATTTCTCCATCTGGTTGAGCAGCGTGGTGTAAAGGTCAAAATGCCAGGGATCAAATTCTCAAAGAAAGAAATAAAATAGTTACAACCAGGAACTTCTTCCACCACACAGATCCTGCTCTATATCGCTCTTTTTACGACTGCCACACAGTAACAGACTTTTTTCCGACACCCACTGGGAAGCTGAGCAGTCGTGTGCTGCTTGTATGTTACAAACATAATGATGATTTATTGTAGGGTACCCTGTGAAACTAGGCCGTGTTTGGTAACCTTGGCAGCAGGTTTCCACTGAGATAGATGCTGAGTTTCAACAGGGTGCACTGACACATGGGAAACCATCAGTTTTGACTCAATGTGTGATCCAGAGAGATTTTTGCTGGAGTGAATGTGATAAATTATTCCAGTTGGTTTCTGGGAGATTTACCCCATTTTCATTCTACCACACATTTTACTGAATGATTAATAGCATCATCATATAACTGTTTCTGTTTCTTACACCATGAGAGCAACAGGACAGATAGGAGATGGTGAGACGGATTTAACAAGTAGCCTGTGGGGTGTGTAGCTCAAACCCACTGGACCACCAGGAAACACTGACGCACGTTTGATATCGTCCTCACACAATGTTTACACTAATACTAAAAATACATCACTATTGTTACATTTGTTTTTTGTGTTCAAACATTGGCAGCATTGTCTGAAACTACGCAACCAACTGCATAGTCGACAATCCGCTCCCTGTTTACACAAGCAGGACGAGTGTATGGAAATGGTTATATTATATATTTTTAATGCTCGTTACAATGGACAAAGATTACTTCTGAGGCAGAGCTAAAACATTTGTCTAGACAGAGATTTTAATTGCAAAACGCCTTTTAAATTGAAAAACACCACCATAAGCTATGAGAAAAAGTAATGTCACTGACCACTATTTTCTGACAATAAAAGCATAACAGTTTAACCAATAATGAGAATATTCATGACAAGTCACTCTATATCCTTTTACAATGCGTACTCCCACCAACCTTTAATTGGCTGCTTGACTTCTCCGTTTTCCCTCTTGATCTCATTCATCACTTTGTGCTGCTTCTTCTTCTCCTTTTCTCTCTCTCTGTCTTTGACATTCTTCTTCTCCCTCTCCTCTCGGTCTCTCTCATTCGCCTTGTCCTTGGTGGAGTGCTCTGTGGAACCAGAGAGAAAGAAAGGTTTTAGGTCAACGACAGCAGAAAGATTTACTCAAGCTCACTTCACTTGGATTTACGTTGCTGACCTCTTCACTGAACTCCTGCCAGGTGCTTCACCTCGGCCAGCGCTTTAACTTTTCCGTTATCGTGATACTCTTCCTCATAAAAACAGTTTGTCGCTTCCTTTCCTGCTGCAACACATTCTTATGTCCAGCACAGCATCTGCTCTTATCTCTCATGCTTTTCAGCAGTGTAATGACCTTCCAGTTCTGCACCATTCACTATAAAACTTTATATAATCTTTAAACTACATCTTGTATAGATAGATCACGTTCCTACCCGGAACACTCATGCCTCTCTCATGTTCTGCCCTCACTAGCATGCATATGCTCCAGCCTTAAACGTGCTAAAATCTTTCTTTGCTTTTCTGTTAATTTCCTCTTTAAATGCTTTTCCGTCTGAAAGATACACTTGAACGCTGAGGGAATATTACAGATTGAAGAATTGGAGTGTGTTCTGATGCATCATGGCAAATTGCTGTGGGTGAGAGCATCTGTTTAAAATGTAAATATCCCATCACACACACCTCTTCAGTAACTGGAGTGCTTTCTGAGAGGCAAGGCATGTCTAACTGGACACAAACACACTTTTCTCCCTGTAAGTCAACATCTCTCACCTCCAACTGAGCTAAAAGAAAACTTCATCTTCCTTAAAATAACTTGATTTTTATTCCATCTTTTATTATTAGCCTCTTTTGATTCTTTATTTCCTTATTCCCCCAAAACATTAGAAAAAAACTCCTTTGTTTTTTTTCTGCATCACTTCTTTTTGCTGTTTCTTTCTTTTCTTTTCCAAAGAACTTCTTTTCTCTGAACGCCGTCAGATCTGTCTTTTAAGAGGAAGCTGTGTTTGCAGCCTGTTCATTCTCCTGTGGATGTGGGGAGTGGGAAAGTGAACACAGTGGGGTTGGACTCACTGTTTGAAGGATCAAAAGAGAAAATGCTTTGAAAGTAAAAAAGGCTTTAAGGAGCAGCAGGAAGATTTGAGTTACATCGATACACTCATTTCAATTATATTTATTTTGAATCTTGGGACATTTTCACTTCTGAATGTCCAAACCAAGGTTTATTTGATTAGTTTTGGTTTCACATCCCAACTGTGCACTAAAGAAATATGTAAGGCATACATCACATTATTATCACTTAGGTACCTATATTTGACAGTGATTGGTTTGCAGAGGGGCATGAATCTGATGTCAGCAAGTTAATTTCCTGAATTTTGTTGCAACTGTAATATCATCATGGTTTTACTACCAGCATCACCAAGTCCACAGAACTTGACACTAGCTCACATTCCACATGAGCATCCTCATCGTTCAAACATTAGCCCGTCTGGATGCATCTCTATAAACAGATTCTGCATATTCACATGCAGCCCCTAAATCATATCCTTCTCCAACAGATTCTGCATATTCTTCAACTTCTACTTCAGTTTTTTAATTATCTACATTTATGTGCAGGTAGCTGTTAACAGACACCTACAAAAAGTATCTCTGTGTGTCACCTCTTTGTTTAGCTAATGTGTGATAAAAGAAAGTAGTCGGATTGCCTGTTGCCCTGGAGGCTGAATTGTCACAGACGATATCCGATGGGCTCAGAGATTGGGTCCAGACCAAGACCACCTAGTTTGGCCAGACTCAACTTGGGGCCACAGATCATGATCCGAGGCACAGTTAACACTTTTTATTTTGGTTCAGACTAAACTAAAACGTCAGGAGGGCTGGACCAAACAAGGTAGATGTGAAAGGGCCCTTAGAGCAATATTTTTCTTTGCCACTCAAGATGAAGGAGGTAGTCATTCCCCTCATACTCTGTGGTTAAGAGAAGGAACGTTGAAAGCATTTACAAGCCATTTTTAGAACTATGCAAAATAAATGCTGTAAAATTACCAGACACTGTGACTGGCCTGGCAGAAAAAAATAAGCAGCTCGTTTCGAAACATCAATTTAGCTCCACAGGAAACTTCCTACAAAGGAGGGCTCACTCAGATCTACTGCCAGGTTTGAAAAAAACATGTCAGACCACGCCGCCGCAGCAACGCTCATTAACTAGAAGTTTAGAGGCAATAGAAGGTAAATTAGCCCAGGTGGCTGGCGTAGCTTTAATACAGCAGAGAACAATCACAGCTTGAGGAGGGTCTTCCCTGTCAAATAAGGGGAAATATCTTTCTGAACTTTGTGAGATTGAAGAAGACAGGGCTGTATAGAGCTGCAGTAGTTCAGGTGAGAGATATAAATGACTCAAATGAAAGAGAGCCATAAAACTGAAACTATTTTTTTCTCTCATTTTGTTTTGTGACTTTCTGGCAGTAGCCAATTTAAAGGGGAACACAGCAGGTGGCTTTCACTGTTTGGATGATCACAGGAGAGAAACACTTTGAAAGATAGAGGGCCAGCGGCAGGCAGTTTGTAAACTTCAACTGCACCAGCACTCACTGGCATCTAACTTTTTGGGGTTGAGGAGGAGAATCAAAAATTCAGAAAATCAAAGGGGTATCCACATTTGGATGCTTGCTTGTTTTTTTATGTAAATCGTAAAATGGAAACCTGCATCCTCCAAACATCTGTCCTTGAAATTAACTTTATTTTGAGTGTGATGTTAACTTGGTAGAAACCCAAGGCAGCACAGTGCTTAGAGCTGTAGCCTGGCCAGGTTTAAATGTGTGTTAGCAACGTGATAAGGCTGGCGACCTGTCCGGGGTGTTCCCTGCCTCTCGCCAAAATGCATGCTGGGATTGGCGCCAGCCCTCTGCGACACAAAAAAGGACGACTGCTTCAGAAAACAGATGAAGGAAACACTGATCTCACCAAAGGTTCCCATGTGAAAGTCCTTATGTTCGTTTGTATTATTCACATAATCTGTATTTAACATTGATTTCTCTGCTGTAAGAGTCTGATTCTAACATGGCACACTGTTTCAATCTGGACATCAAATTTCTTTAGATAATTAATCCAAATCATTCAAACTATTTCTGTGGAAGCTTCAAAGATTCTTTGAGTGAGCTCCACACTGTGGACATCACAGCTTGTGGAGGATTCCCATTTGAGCAAAATGCTGGACACTAACAAACCTAATGCTAATGATTCCTGAGATGTCGTTATCAAACCCTAATGACATAAAAATGTAATTGAGGCATGACATTAAGGGTTCACACACAAAACATATGTTTGTAAGTCATATATCACTTTACATATCAGAAGGTTAGCAGACATAAATTAAGGGAAGTTGATAAAAAGGAAAGATGGGTTCCTCTGATTTGAGTACCTGCAGGTCTCACTCCCTTCTGCATAGAGCTGACTGATCAAGTAAAAAAGCACAAGATAGTTTCAGATCTTTTTAGTCAGTGTAGCTTAACTCACTGTGAGATTACAGGTAGACCTGCTCCCCAACAAGAACCTTGAAAACATTACACGCTCAGTTTACCACTGATGGTGTAGAAAAGGCCACGCTTCACAATTCAAGGTGATTTCAAAATGATTTAGCAGAAAGGTTCATAAAGTCTCCGTCATTGTACTGAACTGCTACTGTACATGAGTTAAGTGTCTCATAATTTTTTTGGACTGAACAAATGACCCGGACGACAGTGACTTAATTGGGTGCTGATTGCAGCTAAGCTTCAATTTCTCTTCCGTTTTCTCCCTGGCTGCACTCGGCCACAGAGAAGTAGTCCCAGGCGTAGTCAGGGATTCTGTCAGCGTAGTGCATTTACATGCACACAAATAACCCAATTACAGCAGTTCAGACAATTACATGATTCACAGCAACCCGTCTTCCCATTAACATAGTTTTTAATAGTCAGAACGATTTCCAGAACAATGCAAGGACAACAGAAAAAAAGAGGTGAGTGAAATGACAAAACTAAAACACTTGGACCTACATTGGTGTGATAAGAACTAACTAAAATAACATACATTTTTTTGGGCCATGTATTTCAACATATTGTTTGGTCCGTGTTCCATCCACCAACATGGCAGGGTTTATGCATACTGGGAGGCGATCAAGATGTCGATCACGTCGTCCATCCTTTATATACAGTCTACAGCTGTAACATAAATGGTCGGAGATCTTCAAAAAGATATAAACTGTGTTGCATTGGTCCTAATCCCTGATTTATGTGTCTCATGTGATTAATCAAAACACAAAAATAACCCGGCTAGTGATTAAAACACTGTCAAGTATTCCACCTTCATTAATTGAGTTGTGATGTCTCTGCATTCAGCTTAAATGCAAATTAATCTTTAAATCCATTTAAAGAGCTTATGGCTTGAATGATGAATATATAATTATAAATCAGACTGTATATAAATAAACTGGGTCTCTCAATGACAACAGCCAAAACTTTGCCTCAGAAGGGGTCCAACCTTTGACCACTGAATAAAACCACAACATCTTGGACACTTAACAAACTTGTCTCTTATTTCAGTACCAAATGTAGCCAGGAGTTGCTGCTCCCCCGCCACTGCCATCAGCCTCCCTCCTACAGCAACCCCACCACCAACATTGCTGCGATGATGTGATACTCGTTGGATCCCTGTAGGAAAAAATGTTCTCCTCCGGGAAGGTCAGTGCACAGTTTGGTGTCTCTACAGCACTCCTGAAGCTGGCAGAACTCACTCTGAAGCTCAAGGACACATTTGGGCACCGTGCCTCAGACTCTGCCACGTCCTTAAAGCGGTCCATCTTTAACCACTGGCTCAGCCTGCCAGTCAATACCTGAGCATTTTAATCCTCGAAAACACTGTGCTCATGATTAATGTGGATTAACACTCTGCTCCACGTTCCCTCATCTTCACATTTGAGGCTACTCAGTATAATTACCATCTCCTGCTGCTAGCCATTGAGCAGCTCTACACCACAGCAATTAGAGGTTCAGTGTTGCTCATGAGCACGTCCATGGAAGTGTTGAAGGGGTGATAATATTTATGTTACTTAAAGCTAATTCTGGCAGCATTCAACAGACCTTATGAATGACTATTCTGCAGTGAGCTGATGTCTTCAAGTATGACTGGATTCACTTGAATAATTATTCTGAACAAGCTTACAGCATTAAAATAAACCAACAATAAACCAAATTATTCTGTGTTATGATTGCTGTATAAAAAAATCTAAAAGGAAATATGAATTTTTAAACGTTTTTAAGAGTCTTGGGCAGGTCTGAAATTCATTTAAACTAAAGCACGGCCTGCCACATATTTGTGTGAATAAATCTGACTGTTTGCCAGACTGTTTGTGATATCGTGTTGGGGGCTAGCAGCCTGCAGCACGTCTCGTCCTGGTGTTCTCGCTGACTGCGGTAGCTGTTCAGTGCATGTCATGACCTCTTAAACTGCCCGACTGGAAAAGGGTGACATCATGCACTCACACACACACACACACACACACACACACACACACACACACACTCTGCTGGCAAACACAAATGTTCGCATGCAGAGATGTTACAGTGACAAACAGCCCCAAAAAAACAGGAAATCAATGAACCCACAACGAAACCCAATATTGAAACTATCATTTAACAGACATTTGGGGCTTTTGTGTTGAGCCAATCGTTGCTTAAAGGTTCAGTGTGTAGAATTGAGTGATATCTAGAGGTGAAGTTGCATGTTGCAGCTGAATACTCATCTCACCCTCCCCTTCCAAACATGAGAGAGAACCTGTGGTGAACTTCAGTTGTCATGAAAACTCAAAAGGTTTTAGTTTGTCCAGTCTGGACTAATGTAAAAACATGGTGGCCTCTGTAGAGAAGGTCCCCTTGATGTAAATATAAAGTATTTAAATATAAAGGGCCTTTTCTGGGGTAAAGAAAACTACAATTCATACAATTTAGATGAAACGAACTAGTGAAAACATCATGAGGATTATTCTACATTAAATTTCTGCCAATAAATCGCTTTCACCTAAATCTTACACACTGAACCTTTCAGGACATTCTAATTATGCAAATAGTTATGTTTAATAATTAGAATAATTATTTGCATTAAAGTAAGCTTACAAAATGTACTGCCTAACCACACCATGGGGTCACAGTCAAAACAAAACCACATGGACGTAATGAGTCAATAAAGTAAAAGCTGCTGCTGCCAGTAGAGTCCAGATCCACAGTGATAATAAAGAAATTAAAGTGATAGAATGAACCATCGTCCTCTGCATGTGCTGGAGAACATGGAGCATCAACAAGCCGCTGAGCTGCGTGTCTGCTTCCCACACAGCCCGGGGTTACAGAGGGGGGCGTGGTGCTCCACCAAAACAACACTTACACTATAATGGCGGGCGGCTGTCATGTTGTAATGACAGCAGCAGCAGCCGCGTGCAGTTTAATGCGTACACCACTGTGAAGAATAGGAAATCACTTACAGAATGCTAACAGTAACTTTAACTGTGTGTTCAGCTGTTTGTAACACGTCAGTGCGAATATATCACAGTGGATCGTGTGCGAATAAAACGCGTGATGTTTTATGAATAGCACGTAACGTAAGGATTCCGCAGCAGCACGAGAGCAGCTGGTAACGAGCAGGTCGCGCGACCACTGGCGCGGAGCTCGAGGGTTCACGAGCGGGTGAAGGAGCTCACACTAGCCCGCGGAGACACCGACAAAACCGGGCTTTCACAGCCCAGCGACCCGGTGTAAACACCTCCCCACGGAGATCGAATATAATTCAGTAAATCTTCGTGTATTCTCTGTTGTTTCACTCAACGCCCGAAATCTGCTGGTCGCTGGTCCGAAATCGGGACAAATTACGCGGCGGACAACTGCTCTCTCTCCGGGGCCACATGTTCGAATCCCGAGTGTGTGGAGCCAAGTGAGTGTCGAGTCGCAGAACTCCCGCTCACTCTTAATAAACACAACCAAACAACTTTGTGAATCAGCTCCAGGAGCCTCTCACATGATGGTGGCCTACCTTTGGGCGGCAGCGTGACCTCTCCGTTCTCCCTCTTCACTGCAGAAATGTGGTTCAGTTTGCTGGGGTCGTTGTTGTTGTTATCGTTGGTCGCGGGGCCGGAGGTCACCATCACTTTGTGTTTCTTCCCCTCGTCCTCCTCCTCCTCCTCCTCTCCGCCTCCTCTCAGAACCTTCTCCGTCCTCTCCCGCTGTTTCTCTCTGCTGCTTTTCTTGGCTCTGCCGGAGGAGGACGTCGCTTTATGGAGGAAGAAGTCGCTCTGTTTGAACACTTTGTGCGTGTTTGCGGGTGTTTGGGATCCACCGGTGGCGGGTGCTGGAGGGTGGTTGTTGCCGCCGCCGCTCCACTCCCCCAGGCTGCTGCCGTAACTCTGCCGCTGCTTGCCGGGCAGCTGGAGTTTCTCTCTGCCGCCGCCGTTGCCTCCCACTCCCGCGTCCCTGCTGAGTTTCTTGGGCTTCACGCTCCGCTCCTCGACTCGGGGCTTCTTGGGCGGCGGCGGCGGCGGAGGCGGGTTGAAATTCCGGGAAGACTGCGAGCGGTGGTCCGCCTTGACGAGCGGGCTCTTGGCGGAGGCGAGCCCCGCAGTAGCCGCAGCTCCGGTGAGGTGAGCGGAGCCCAGCGAGTCAGCCATCTTGAGGCTCGTGTTTACTCTCTAACGTCTCTGCTGCTTCCAGCAGGACGTGCAGGCGGCGGGGGCGGGGCTACCGCTTAACTGACAGGCCAGGGGCGGGACCAAGGCGTGACTGACAGGCAGAGAAGGAAAAAAAAGCAAGAGGCGGGGTTTAGTCAGGGGCGAGTCTAGAGTTTATTGGGGCCCCGAGAAAAAAATTCCCAGGGGGGCCCCTCAAACAGAGTTCGTCAATTTACACCGAACTATATTATTACATATATCACTTCCATTATCATCATGTACAGTGTTATATATTAACGGGCACTTTTTTTATTTTATTGTTTATATTCTTTGTTATAGTAACTGTGGAGCACAATGATTTCCCTCGTAATTAATATCCATCTGATCTTATCTTGGGGTCCCAGCATTTGACACCAGCACCATGCAGACAGACCACTAACGCTCCAGTGCTTCAGAAGTGTCCACACATCCTCTGGGGCTGTTTACACTTTGATTTATTGGCATGAAAACATTTTCTTCGCTCTAAGTGACGGGCGGACCTCTCGGTACAAAGCCTGCCAGTGTGTGGACAGCCAACCGTGAATACTAAATATGATTAGGTGCTGGACTAGGAGAGTTGTGAAGTTACAACTGGCTGTAAAGACGGTGACAAGTTGATGCAAGTCAGAAGAGAAAATGTGATTTGTGTGTGTGCCGCAGGAGAAAGCCAGGAAGTGTGTGAGTGTGTATTGTGCAAGTTTGACTCCTTCCAGCAGCTACTGTATAAAACTAATTTCGCTGAAATCAATCTGGTTGAATGTTTTTTATATTCCAGGTGTTAAAAAAAACAGCTGATAGTTTTCATTTCCTTCAGGTGGCAGCACTGCCTGCTGCTCACATACATGCACTCTGCACTGATTGGCTATATGTATAAACCATTACATAACTGCTCCATGGGAAAACTGAGGTGACCCAGTTAAGGTAGAAAGCAGGATTAATTTACACTAGATGCAGTGAGTGTGTGTGTGGAGGGGGGGGGGGGCAGACTGTGCATTGATTCTGTGCCACTGAGAGGAAAACTGCAGCATAGAGTAAAAATAAGGAGGAGAAAGTTATAAAATGTTAAGGAAAGAAAACACTTTAGCTGTAAGTGACTCACTGGTTCCTGCTTTACGATGTATATATTAAACCTTTCTATAAACATTAGTCCACTGTTACATATAAAACCTCTGAAGGCCACACAGTATAGAATACAGGTTTAACAGGTTCCTTTTTGTATGTTATACATAGATAGTGTAATTCATGTTTGATAAATGCACTCATCCTTTTTAATATAAAGGTACATTTTAAGATCTGCAAATGTATTGAGTCTTCAATTAAAATAAATAAACTCACTTATAGTTGTACGAGAGTTTACACTATAACTGCACTATTTATGTTCAATATTTAGAAAAATCATGGAAATGATGTTTAAATCCTGAATCTATATGTGAGTTTTATTACATTACTATGGAATACGAAGGATACAAGTATGAATAATCAAATGTAGAAATTCATAAATGTAGGAATACAGAAATAGTGATTTGGACTCTGAACCACTCCCTTTTCATCTTGAGTGGTAAAATGTAATTTCAGCAGGATATTAAGCCTCAAATGATGTCTCCTTCTGTCAGACTGATTATGACAATGAATGATCATGTAAACGTAAGATACATTTGCAGATTAACACCATTGTTTCAAAAATAACTTTTGTCATCAAACCAAAGACGAAGCTGTCTTAACTACGCCTGCTACACAGGAGATGCTGTATGGAGCGTGTCAGTATAATTAATTTGAAATGAGCGTTGGCTACATGTGAACACCAGCCAATAATTACAGTACGCATGTTCACCTGCTGTGCCTCCCTGAGTGTAAAGCCATGCCAAGTGAATACAAATGTAAAACCCTGAAGGTCTGTGTGTAAGACACTGAGCTAATGTGTGTTTATACCTCCTGCTATGATCAAGTAATTGTCAAATTATTATGTGTGTGTGTATGTTTGGGTCGGCAAATCTTCCAGGTGTGAGAGAATTTCCTGCTGTGATGACACACACACACACACACAGTGTAAAAGTTCATTTTGAAGTCACTTGTGATTGACATTATCAGATTATGCCAGTGGGAGATTCAATTTAATTATTTTAATCTGTTGCTTCAGAGACAAGTCAGAGTGATTTATTAAACACCGGACTGGTCCAATATGAATACATACTGTACATCTCTCACACACACGCACACATGCATTTTTGTTATCTTGTACAAAGAAGAGAAAAAAAGAGGCGCTTCATTACTTGACGTTCATTTTTACTGATTGATTTCTGCAACATACAAACATTTTGGGAGTAAGTGTGTGTGTTTGTGACAGTAACAGGACAAGGGGCGTGGCTGAATGAGAGTCCCACGGGAGGCAATGAGCAAGCAGCAGCGAATCATATCACTCACGCTCACGCCACTAACGATGATTGGAGGAGAGGGGACGAGGGGAGGGGCGAGCTCTCTCTTAAAGGCACAGGTGGGCTCTTTTTCTGAGATTGAGGCGAGTGTGCGGCTGACGCGGGGAGAGAGAAGGAAGCTGAGGAAAAGATGGGAAAGGATGAAAAAAGTGAAAAAGAACATCTCCTCTCCACATGTTACCGAGCAAAGGGCGTGTTTTGTTTTTGAACCGCTGAACAGTTAACAGATGCATTACCAAAGTGAGCAGATGTGTTGAAGACAGCAGCCTTTCAAAAAGTAAAAAGGCATGAATGAGGATGGAAGAGGAGGAAGATGAAAGAGAGAAATTGGAGAGGGAAGAACAACAGAAGAGGAATCTATGAAAGATTGAAAACGTGTGAAGAGGAGACAGAGAGGCAGAGAGATTATTTGACGAGAGAGAAGCAGGGGTTTGGATGAGGAGCAGTGAACTTGTGATGCAACAAACAACCGCATATACAAAAATAACTTTAAAATACCATTTACAAAAAAGAAAACGACCATTATTATTATTATTATTATCATCGTCATCATTAATATTATTATTACAATCTTATTAGGAGCCCGTTGTTGCTATTTGAATGGTGACCAGTTGGCAATCTATTCTTTTCATCTGCCAACCGATTTAAACAAAACAAAACAAAAAATCAATCTTTTTAAGAATATAATTAGAACATAAAAGTAAAAAATAAAACAACCCTGAAACATTTGACAGAGGAGGAAACCAAAGGGCAGAAGAATAATTTACAGTTTGAAGGGAAACATCGTGTAGAGGGGAGGAATCATCATCATCATCATCATCATCATGCACTGACTTTCTTACATCTTCTGTTAATAATATTTAAGCAAAAACAAAAATCTGAAATATTATATACCTAAACTGCCCTGTACAGTTCTTTATCTTTATAAAAAATGCATATACTGTATAGTAACGGGAGCTAATGGAGGAGAAGTTAGCAGAGATCAATTCAAATCTGGAGAAAACAGTAGTCCTGGGTCCCGTGCTGCTTAGGTCTGAACGGATCATTGTCTCACAAATGCAGAAGCAGGTGAAGAACGACTTGGCCGTCAGATGAGAAACCAAACAAGTTGCATTTTAGTTTCATGAGTTTTACATGATGAGTGACATTCATAGCTCCAAACGAGGAGGTCTACTGTGAGTAAACCGGCCGCTGAAGCAAAAGCGTGCATGGTCGATCATCTGAGGGCCGCGCCAGCAGGACGACGAGAATGAGAACAGAAAAGCAGCAACAGGAAATTAAAACAGCAAATATGAGTCCCAAGTTAAGACCAGGAGACGCCCAAACAACAACAAAGAGAGAAATTACTTTAAGAGAAGAGCCAAATTAGGAGGGGGGGGTGGAGTAAGGCAGGCTCATGGTCCCAGCAGTGAGAGCCAGAGTCACAGGGCTGATGAGGTGTTTGGTCATTACTGTGTTTGAGGTTATTAAACAGGGCTGTTAGCTCTTCTGGGCACAAATTCTTGAGCTTGTTCTTCAGCTACGATATCACTGGATCAATCTTAGGAGTGTAGAGGTGATAATAAAAGTCTGGAAGCAACTTCTCGAGGTAAGAACCTCCAATCAAACAGGTGGAAAAGAATCCGATTACAGCTGTAATGTCCTCATCTAACTCCAAACATCCCAAAATCCATAACTATTCATTTCACAGCCACAAAGATTCACGATTCCGGAACCAATAAACCTACGAAAGTCGACTACAATGACCAAACCACGTCAGCCTCATTCCTCTGGTAAACAGGGAGGTCAGCATAGAAATGTGAGAGACTAGAGCTGATGTTACTGCAGCTAACGCAGGACAGCGCTAATCTTTACGTTTCTACGATGATCCGTTATAATGTAGCACCAGCACACAGAAAGAGGGAGAGATATAGAGAAAGAGAGAGAGAGAGCACCCTGGCAACCTGTAAATACCCAACAGAAAAGGTTGCATCATGGGTTACAGATTATCTCGGTTCGCTTTGAAGATTGTTGTTCATTCAGTAGGAGGAAGCAGACACCTGGGAGTCCAGTAAAACCTCAGGGATCAGCTTCCCACAGTAGTTTTTGTGATTAAACATAATTCCTGATTGAGGACAAAAACTGTTACTTTTCTCATTTGGTATGAACCAAAGTATTTTTCCTCTAAATTTGAGGGGAACACTTTTCATTTTAACACGTGAGGGTTACGCCTACATTCCTCTTCATTCAACGTAAGAACGGACAAATCTTCGTGATGTGTCTCCAGCTCAGAGAGAAAAAACAAGACCATTTCTTAATCTACTCTCAAGTCACCAAAATAAAAAAAACAGGAATTATGCTTTAACCATTAATAGGGAAATAACCAGACTGATCCCAGGTCAGCGTGTCGAGATGTAGAAACCTCTAGCATCAGCAAGCTGAGCAGGAAAATGTGGGCTTTGTTCTAAAATGGACAAGCCACTTAAACAGTGAGTGTTCTTCAGCTCTGCACAGTGGCACTTTGAAGGAAGGACTGAGGAGGAGGAGGCGCTCAGTCTCGACAAGCTGTTGGCACAGAGTCACACAGAAGGCGCTTCTATGTAACACTGTGCTGTCTGTCTGTCTGTGTAGCATCTATCAACTTTTTTTTTGGACCAGCCAGGTGTGATCAGCAGAGTCTGTCTCCTGACAGGCGAGGACACTGTTGGTGGACGGGCAGACGGCCATCATGTCCACTCCAGGGGGGGTTCTCGAGGGCCTTTGGGCTGGATGCAGCGGTTACCGAACCCTGAAAGGAGAGGAAGTTCTTAGCTGGGTCTCAACTGAATAGAATACATCCAGAAATTTGTCTCCCAGGAGAAACATGTGCCTTCAGTTCTTGCCTGGTCTCAAAACGATCAAAACATTTTCTGCACATGCAGCCGTGGGCTAGATTTCCTATCAGCAAAAGCAACGCCACACATCGAGAAAAAAAAGATGACATTAATAGAAACCGTGTTTGTCAGCAAAGGGTTTTGTTCGGACTGAAAAACCATTACTTGTGCAAATTATACCCGAGGTTCCTCCAGAGCGTTGACAGTGGAAACCTGGCCAACGGCAGCGTGCAGTCACAGGAAATAAAGGTAAAAAACACAGATGTCTGGACATGTAAAAGAAGGGACGACAGCAGACTTACCCACCCAGGTCTGCCTTGCTGTCTGTTGCTGTGGCAGATGCAGGGTCAGCCGGTGATGTCTTCTTAACGCGGTCTGACACATCTGCACACGGGCAAACAGACACACACACACGCAGGTTAATGGGGTGGAAACACTGTGTGGATATCAAGTGATGGATGTGTTCAGGAGGTGTTGTGTAATAGTTTTAGTGCTGCATGACCTGAATATATAAATTACACAGATTTATAAATGCTCAGATTTAGTTACATTCCAAGCAAGTGAAAATCCTTGCAGAAGTCCAATAGTTTTTCCTTTTTAGATTATTCTCTCTCTCGCAACACACACTGGAACTACTGAAGCAATAAATTGGCAGTAACCATCATCACAGTCCTTGTAGCACAGATAAGCATATACACACATTTTTCATTTCACTCCTCTATAGACTTGTTTATCTATTTTTTCCCCAACTTTCCGTATCTTTCTTTCTCGCCATTACTCAGTCTCTCGCTCCTACAGCTGCCCTTTTGACAAATTCTTTCAGTCTTATCGTGCACAGGCTAATTTGTAAAACAGCAAAGGCCCTGTCTCCTCCTCTGCTCTGTTGACTATACCTACGACAAACGCATAAACGCAGCACGAACAAGGACAAACATGCAGCGACTGGCGAGCAGATAAAGCGCCGCTACACGCGCCAACACGCAGATAAGCGGGCAGTAATGGACTTTTGTGACGTGTGTGTTCGTACCTGTAGGTGAGCCGCTCCATTCAGCGGAGGCCGAAGTCCTCACATCCAGAGGGTCTGGCGGAGAGCAAGGGAATGAGTGAGTGAGACGAAGAAAGAAACAAGTGATGACAAAAGTCTACACACCCACACATCCCCACATCCCCACATACACCCACACATCCCCACATACACCCACACACCCCCACATACACCCACGTTTCCTTTCAAAATCACTATAGCTGCTTTCAGACATGCACTGAACTCCGGATCACTTCAGGAGATTAACCAGATGGGCTGTGTGTGAGAATGTAAATATCCAATTCAGTTTCTCCAAGTGAGCCCACACACAGCAAGAGATTATCCTGTGAGTAAATGGGTGTGTTGATGATTTTCTAAAACACGACAGACGCAAAATGGAAAAAAACCCAACAAAATTACAAATATCTCAGGATGAAGAAAGGGTGTCCTACACGTAGAAGACATCGAAGATGATGCCAACTTGGAAAAACGATGAAATTTGAGAGTTTTTGGTGATAATGGTTTCGCTGGTGACAACGTGCTGTAGAAAAAAAAACACGTTATTCTACAGGGGAACTGATGCATCAGGTCCAGCCTCCTGCGCCACCTCTTGCCTGAATGCTCTGGAGATTTTCTTGTTGGTGTGGACGCAGGGGATTCTCAGGTCTGACCTGGAAAATCTCCTGCTACGTTGTTCATATGTGAAAGGCAACGTCCAGAGAAAGCCCAGACTCCATTGTCCTGACATTTTCCGGAGTTCATGTCTGAAAACGCCTTCTGCTTCACAGTACCTTTCCATTTTTCTTCATCACTCAGCCTTTAATCCAAACATTCCTTCATCTATCGCTCACATCGCAGAAAGAACAACCTCCACTCCGGCCTTCAAAGTACCTCAAAGCTTCATCTTCAAAAGTGCAAGAATTGATTTTTCTTTGAAACACAATGAGGCTGTGAATACAGGTGAGAGCAATGATCTTTCAAAATCTCTCCAGAGGCGATAACCAAGATCCACACACACACACACACACACACACA